TGTGTGTTTGTGTTGCGGTGGGGGGGGGGGGGGGGCGCTGCAGTTCTTCTTTTCTGCCACTAGATGTCCTCAGTCTTCCACTAACAATCAGCATAATTCAGCCACTCCCTCTGAGCCCAGGTTGTCATGAACCCAACCCCAAGGAGGCAGCGTCATCACCCAGCCTGGGCTCAGCGTGTTGCTGCGCTGATTGCACTTGTATGTCATTATTATAAGAAGATTTATTTATTAAAAAAGTCTGCATTGCAATGACAGCAGTATGTCAGCTTGCACAGAGTGTGTGTGTTGTATGTGTATGTGCGTTAGTGGGGCATGAGTAATGGTGAATGAGTGAACGTGTTAGGACTCATTCACACATGTGCATTGTGGTATGGTGTGCTAAAATGCATGCAACGTGCGTTAACACAACACATAGGAACGCACCTGCTGTACATGCAGTATATCGTGGTGCCATTCATTGTGAATGCCATCCCGACACAGTGTACAGTAGAGCCCAACACCCCGTGGTGCATCAGAGGGTGATGCATGTTTTTTCATCCATTGTTATGCCATAGCGCGCATTAACGCACTGCAGTACATATTTATTATAGTAGGGGTGTGTGCAACTCCGGCCCTTCAGCTGTGCTTTAACTACAACTCCCAACATGCCTCTGTCTCCAGGAGCCATGGCTGTAACTGTTCGTCTTGCAGTGCCTCATGGGACTTGTAGTTCCACAACAGCTAGTTGCCCACCCCTGGTATATAACATCTATTTTGACAAAGACAGTAACACTCACAGAGGTAGCAAATGAAAAGAATATCCTGATACAAGATATATATAGTTCCCATTCCTCGTGTGTGTAATCCCAAATCCCACAGACAAAATCAGTTCTGTTATATATCATATTTAGGAACACATTCCATCTGTTCACCCGTTTTGGTCATGTGTTTGGGAAGGGTTATGTACAACTACTGATACTCCGGACGATTGATAGGAATGAATACTTCATGTGTCTGTCTTGTTCTCCATAGACTGGCTGCTCAGAGAGCAAAATATTTCAGAGATAAGAATGAACTGATGATGTCTTACAAGAGCGCCCTGGACACGCAGGTAATCCGGGGGATATAATAAATACTTATCAGTAGAGGATACACAATGCACAGTATATAGATGAATACGGGAAGGAGATGAGTGACAGGTTTTACTACAATCAGAAGTTGTCATTTCAGGGCAGCCATCAGAAATTTTAGGGCCCCTTACACGGCTTTAGGCCGGGCCCCCCCCCCTGCGCCGCTGGACACGGGGCTTAGTGACATGCTGGACACGGGGCTTAGTGACGCGCTGGACGCAGGGCTTAGTGACACGCTGGACACAGGGCTTAGTGACACGTTGGACACAGGACCCACCTGAGAGTGACCCTGCAGAGCCCACCATAAATGCTGCACAGCCCATCTGAGACTGTCTATGGTGGGCTCTGAAGGGGTCTCAGGTGGGCTGGTCAGGGCTGCATGCCTCCCTCCTTTCCTTCCTTCCTTCCTAGCTCCTCTTACCTGCACACATGGCCTCGTCTCCCGCCGGACCAGCCAGAAGTGACGTCACTATCGGGCAGTCCGACATCAGACGAGCAGCGCCCCTGATGGGGCCCTAGCTTGTCTCAAAGCCACTGGAGCTGCAATGCTGGGGCCCTGCGCTGCTAGGGCCAGGCCTCCGCCTCCTCGCCCTTGTCATGTAAGGCCGATAGTCATGTAAGGGACCCGGGCGGGCCCCCCAGGCTGCCCGGGCCCCTTACATGAGTATCTGCCGTACCCCCCCTGATGGCTGCCCTGGTTGTCATTTCAGGTTTCGCCTGCAGTGCCACCTACTGGCGTGATCCAGTATTGCTGTAAACCCTCACTATACAGGAAAATTGGATGCCAGCACTATATAGCCAAACTCTTTCTTTATTCTTTCATCAAAGCATAATGCAAAAGACCCCCAGAGTCCAATGTTCTTGTATAGTGGTTGTCAGTAAATGAGCTGGATGAGCACCTGGCTGTAGCACAGTGGCACTGCTGCCTTGCAGTACTGGGGCCCCCCCAGTTCAAATCCTGGTCAGGACACCATCTGCAAGGAGTTTGCATGTTCTCCAAAGACCTGCTGGTGTTGTTAACCCTTGCAGTGAAAGGGTTAAGTGCTCATTTTAATCTAGTTAAAAAAATAGCAAAGTTATAATCACCTGATCCTCAGCCTCTCCCCCCCTCCGCTCCAGCAGTCTAATGTCCCATGAGTAATCACGTCCTGTACATCTATAGGCCGTGAGGATGCCAAGGGACATACGATCACTGCAGTGGGGGAGAAGACAGGCTGGAGGGAGCGCTGTCACAGCCAGCCAGATGTGAGGATCAGGTGAGTATAACTTAAGACATTTTTTGCACCAGGACCAAAACGAGCCCTTAACCCTTTCGGTGCGTGTTTAGCCACACCGCAAGGGTTAAGGAGATTTTTGCTCGGAGTGCTTCTATAAAGGATACCAGTACTAAGAGAAATCGGTGAGATTCTATGCATGGATTATTCTCAAAAGCTAGTTCCCTGGCTGTCAATCTTATTGATTAGTACATTCAGAGTTACTGACCTGAAACAATAGTTCTGCTCCTGCCCCAAATTCATGTATGCTTCTTCTGGGTCAGTGATGCAGAAAGAATTGAAGACATACTTAGCCAGGAAACTAGCATCTTATGAAGGAGGTCAGCAAAGGCAACCCCCATTTGCATTTGTGTGGGCTGTCAAGGTGCATTATGTCACACGTTAATGTGCGTTGCATTAGGCAGCCCATTTCAAGTGGCTTCTAACGCACCAAAGTGTCCCAGAGGTTGGACATGACACAACATTTTTGCTGCAAGGTACTGCAATACACTATGGGGCATCGCTATACATTGCCGTACACGTGTGCTGCCTTAGTGCCTTGGAGTGCTATTCAAAATCAATGGCACCGCAATGTGTCAAAGCATGTAACGTGTACTGCAGTAACACGCATTAACATGAGCTTTATGCAATGCTTAGATAATAACTGTCCCTCCAGAGTTTCCTCTAATACAGCTTTTCTGCTTCCTAGTCCTGGGGAAAACATTCTGTATGAGAACCATATCACACAATATAGTATTGGCACCAGGGATGCACCGATACCGTTTTTTCGGTATCAAATACGAGTACCGATATTTTCTTTTCAGTACTCGCCGATACCGATACTTAAAGTCCCATTAAGGAAGCCGGGCAGCGTGTAATGAGTCACCGCCCGGCTTCCCGATTAGCCGGGAAGCTGTCTCCATGCTTCCTCATCACCAGGTGATGAGGTATGGAGCCAGCTTTTTAGCCAATCAGTAAGTCAGACGGCAAGTCATTACACGCTTCCCAGCTTACTGATTGGCTGGGAAGCTGGCTCCATGCTCCCTCGTCACCAAGTGACATGGAGCCGGCTTCCCGACCAATCAGGAAGCCGGGGGGGTGTGTAATGACTCGCCGCCCAGCTTCCTGATATCGGACGTTCCGGTATCGGGATAGGCATCGGGAGCATTTGGGCGAGATGAGTACTTGCACAAATACTCGGTATCGGCACCAATACTAGTATCAGTGCATCCCTAATTGGCTCAAATGTTCACACAACAAGCTAAGAAATCATATTAAACCGTTGTCACAGGTGAAAATGAAACCAAGCTTTGCTCCCCCTGCGGAACCCAAAATTACAGAGCCGGGATTTGGACGGAATGATATGGGCAATGATAAGTTGGCGGAAAGGAAGAGGCGGGCCCAGGAGGTCTCTAAGCACCAGCTGCAAACCGTCGCAGAACGCAAGCGCCTGGCTGTACTCAATGATCTGGTGCAGCAGAGGAAGGAGTCCGACATGCTTCAATCTACTAAAGAGCTGTAAGTACACTATTGATTTTTCGGTACAAAGTCGCTTTAGTCTGGGGCAGGTGTATTTCTCCATCATCCATTGAGGGACACAGCTCTGAAGAATTCTGAGATGAAGAAGTTATGCTGCTGCCTCCAGGAGAATTGGACACTAGGCAAAAATGTCAAAAGCCTGTCACCTTAAGGGACATAACCCCTCACACCTGCCAGTTTTGCCTAATGCAGTGGCGTCACAAGGGGAGTGCAGGGGGTGCTGCCCGCACCTGGGTGCCACCATTGGAGGGGTGACACCAAAATGACTGATCATTTTGGTGTCACCCCCTCTGAAAAGTCTGGCACTCGGTCATTGACCGAGATTCCGACAGTGTCAGTAGAGAGAAGGGGACCCGGCGGCATACCACATCTCGCCGGGTGAACGTCCCCATCTCTCTCAAGATGGCCGCCGGCAGGCGTCAGTAAGATGACCACGAATGCGCGATGACTTCATTGTTCACGTGGGTTTCACCCGACCTCCGCTCCGGGTGACACCCGGCCTCGGGACGCCCCTGGCCTAATGTCCTCATAATTTATGATTTTAGTTTGTTTTATTTCTTCTGAGATATTATGATACCGAGAGCTGCTAGTTGATTCATACCGGATATGTTAAATCCTGGAAGTTTCTCTAGCTAGCCGACTTAGAGATTCATACCGGATATGTTAAATCCTGGAAGTTTCTCTAGCTAGCCGACTTAGAGATTCATACCGGATATGTTAAATCCTGGAAGTTTCTCTAGCTAGCCGACTTAGAGATTCATACCGGAAATGTTAAATCCTGGAAATTTCTCTAGCTAGCCGACTTAGAGATTCATACCGGATATGTTAAATCCTGGAAGTTTCTCTAGTTCTCATGTCGTTTCTGGTCTCAGTACTAATGATTCATCCTGCTGTGGTCCGGACTTCCCTATGGTTGTTTCTTCAATTATTCAGTCAGACCAGTATCATCTGGGAGATCCTACTCTGACATCGCGAACCTGGCCATGGAGTCGTGTGCACATATATGTCTATTGTATAGTGAACTATGGGGATAGGTTTTTTTCCTTCTCCTTTTATGACGTTGGCTGTGTATTTTTATTTTTATGACTTTATGTATATTTTGGAGTCTGTGTGATTTTTACTTAAACTTCCCGCCACCTCTTTAAGAGGCCGGGACTTGAACTTGATGACGTCTTTAAAAATTCTTATGCACATGAGGCCGTCTTCTAGAATCTTCAGGGCGGCATAGCAGTTACAGTCAACTGGTGCCTCATTTCTATGCTGTTTTGGGGGGAAAATAGGCCTTTTTACAGCCACACGACCACTTCACATGCTTATTCTGCTGTCGGCATCAAGTACAAAGGCTCCTCATCTGCCTTTCTCTCTTCACACACGTTGGGGCCATGAGTAGTACTGAAGAAATCTGTGGTGATTGCACTTTTTAAGTGTTACAGATATGTCTGCTTCTAAGCGGAGGGGCAAGCGTGCCGTGACTACGGAGGAATGTATTGCTTCTAATGCCATTCAGAAATAAAATCCACTAATGCAGTGTCAGCTTCTAATACTTACAAATGTATTATCCTCGGGGTCCTCCCTATGGGGTTTTTCTGTATTGTGATTGTTGTCTTTCCTTCAGTCGTGTAGATCAACGTTTAGCTCTCAGTACCATTAAGGGTCAAACATCTGCCTTGTCTGTCCTTTATCAATGTCCTCTAGCTTCTAACTCCTTGATTCATACTCTTATTCAGGTACTTTCACTTGTTGTTCCTCCTGTTAGGTCTCCTCTTCCACCGTGGGACTTGAACCTGGTTTTATCTGTTCTGGAAAAACCTCCTTTTGAACCTGTTTGAGATATTTATTTGACTTTGTTGCCCTTCTTGTGTCCATCACCTCAGCTAGAAGGGTTTCTGAGTTGTCTGCCTTGTCTTGTAGAGAACTGTATTTGGTTCTTCATAAGGACAAGGTTGTTTTAAGATCTCAGGTTTCCCTTTTACCCAATCTAGTCCCGACTTTTTATTAAAATTGACTATAAGGCCCCATTCAGACTGAGCGATTTATCGCACGATTTTTGCAGCGATAACGCTCTATGTAGCTTCTCTAATCCATTTCAATGGAGCTGTTCACATCTAGCCGCTCAATATCGCTTATAGCTCGTCGCTGTAGCTTGTCGCTCCTACATGACCCTTTTTTCTGCGGATTTCAAGCGATTTTGCTCCTGATTGCATACAGCCCAATAGGAAAAAGTCGCGCAATATCGCACATATAAAATCGTGCGGAAAATCACGTGATTTACATGTCGCTCAGTGTGAATGGGGCCTTAGAGTTTATCTGTGAGCCACAGCTCCCTTTAGACATTGGAATTCTTTATTTGTTCTACCTGACGGTCCTACGGTAGAAAAGGTTGTTCAGCTTCTAGATCCGCTATTTCTAAGTGGATTCATCAGCTTGTCATTCAAGGTTATGCGTTGCGGGATAAGGTTCCTCCTTTTCCTGTTTCTGCTCATTCTAATAGGGCAATTAGTACTTATTGGGCGTTTCACAGTCAGATGTCTTTTACTCAAGACCGCAACTTGGTCTTCTGATCACCCTTTTGCAAAGTTTTATAAAGGCGACGTTTCTACCTCCTCTGATGCTAGTTATGGCAGAGAAGTTCTTCGGGCAGCTGTTTAAGTATTTTTTAACAGTTCCTTTTTTATTGTTGAGCTTTTCTTTTAGTTGTTCTGGTGCCCGCCCATCTGCTTGGACTGCTTTAGAATGTCCCTACACCTTAGAATTCTTCAGACCTATGTCCCTCAGTGGACAATAGAGAAAATAAGCATGAGGTGGAACGGGTTATGTCCCGTAATGAGGAAGGCTTGTACATTTTTTGCCTAGTGTCTAATTATCCTGGAGACAGCAGCATAACCCTTACACCTTAAAATTCTTCAGAGCTGTGTCCCTCAATAGACCCTGAGAAAGGGTAAGAACAAAATCTGATTTCCCTGCCTGGGAGCCATGTGTTCTGCGTACAGCTGCCCATAGATATCAATGTCTGTACCTGGGTATATGTTGGTCTTTGCATAAACATGAGATAACCCGAAATACAAACAGTCTGCATCTAAAGGCGTACATCTTTACACATGCACATGTTAACACAAGTACCGGCGTATACCCGCCTACAGCCATTGATTTCTATGGGTAGCTATATGTAGCACCTGTGGCTCCCAGGAGGGAAAATATGCCCCAGGCACCCAGCCATGTGCATGCGCCCTTAAAGAGCCAGCCCACTTAAAATGGGTATTCCAGATTTAGATGGATGCAGGTGGTTGCATTGACTTACGGTTTCTCATATCCTTCAGCAGTGAGATCTCTACACTTATGTCTGATCAGCAAAGCCATTAAAAAAAAAAAAAGATAGTCAGGCTCCACCCTCTCAGCTCTCCATGTATTCAGGGTGAATCCATTGTAGAGAAGAGTCACTGCTATCTAGAGACTAAAGCTGGACAGGCAGTTCTGGAGTGTCCCAGGATTGCGCTGGAACAATAAAGTTGTTTTTCTTTCTATGGAAGCGGTGTGTGACTTCATGATACATATGTGAACTTCCCACTTACAGTTTCAATTGGTTCTCAGCGTCAAGCCATGGAAATTACGGTGGAAGTGGACATAAAGGAATTGGATTGTCTGTCCAAAGAATTTTTTTAATTGATTTTCAGTCATCTGATCACTCAATGCTAAATGATTGAAGTGTGCAAGGCAGATTGCTGTGACTAAAAGCTGATAGAAAGCAACGACTATTGGGAAGTGTTTATCCAACGGGCTTTACCCATAGAATGTAAAATAGTGAGATATATGGGAGCCTGTTTGGTAGTGGTAGGTACGGGAGGTGTACTCACACATGGCTGGATGGTAACAGCGGCAGTCCTAGGAGCGGGATCAAATGCGAGTACTTTAGGTGGGAGGTTGCTGTAGTTTAAAAATGATGGAAGGAAAAAACCAAAGCGATGGAATTATCTGCCAACCAATCAGAATTGGGTGTTCTAGGTGTTAGCACTTTTCATACACTTGCTGCGAATTGCACATAGCGGGATTTCAATGTCACTGTAGAATATACAGATGTTGTGGAATAATATGCCCTGTGATTACCAGTCTCCATGCTCTCCTGCAGGTTATTATCTGATAGAGCAGCGCAGTATGAGAAGATGCAGAGAATATACAAAGGGTTGCAGGACGATTGGGTCAAAAGCCACGAGATGAAGAGATTGAAGGAGGAGGAGGAAGGACGCTTCATCCGGTACGTTTAATTACACTTTATCCTAGCATGGGCACGCCGGGTCCCCCCAGCTTGTGAAGAAATACAGGATTCAGGACACGGGGGCCATCCTCCATGATTTTAGCCAATGCACAAAAGCCGTAATAATGTTGCTCTCCATCTTCTGGCTCTCGTCACTTGATTTGGGGGTTAAATAAAATTTTTATGTGCGATTATCATTAAAGTGCCTGCAAACCCGAAAAATCTAAATGCATTGTTAACCTCTTTATTAGACTCCTTGTGCAAATAGTTTTTTTCTTTTACAAAATGTTTATTGGTTTAGGAAGAACAAGGAAGATACGAGTAATTGGGTAGGGTGACCTATATTACATATCGATCTTTCCATATTGTAAAATACAAAGAGTTCAGAATGTGCGAGATTATGAGACTATGGAATAAAAAAAAGACCCATACCCAGAGTATAGATACAACAGACAAAATCCAGGTTCAGGGGTATATCAAGAGAATGGCACATTTCTCATCGGTAAGTCCCCATTCACACATGTGTTGTGTGAATGCATTCAAGCAACGCGTTAAAAATGTGTGATGCACTTGCAGTGCCATAACTTGTTAGTGGCACCCGAAACTCGGCCGGTAAAACGTGCATCTTTGCCTGTGTGTTGTTGAACACCATACGCGGGTGCATCAGCTTCTTTTGCCACATTTGTCGCATGTGCGGCAGCCCATTGAAGTGAATGAGCTGACATCTGGCAGATGCAAACGATCATGCACGCCACAAATGCACGCCCAGTGTGAACAGGGTCTCAGTGTGTATAACAGCACATATAGATTAAACGTAGTCGCAAAGCTTAATATAATGTCACCTACATGTAGCACATGTGTAATAGAAGGGCAGGGTGAGTTTCTTAGTTTTAAGGGAATGGGTGTTGAGGTGGGCGAGGAGGGAGACGGAGGATGAAAGGGGTTGAAGATAGGGTATGGTGGAGGGTAGGATGGGAGAAAGAAAAGAGAAAAAAAGGTCTGGGGTGTAAATGGTTGGGGGTGAATCCAGGGCCCGAGGCGCTCTGCTCCCCTATAAAAAAACTTAGAGTTATGTTAGGATGTCAGAAGTATATCTGTAAAAAATAAGTCAAGGCAACTGGACTTGTATTTTTTTTTTCTTGAAGACGTTTCACTGATCATCCGACCAGCTTTCTCCATTCAGAATGACTTGTACAAAAAATCCTCTGGGAATAAATATGGTGAATGTCGCTCCAATCCACATAATCTGTTATTCATAACCAGGTGTTGATTGCATTTGTATAATTGGAGTCTAGGAGGTGTTATTAATCAGCCCAGAGAGGTGTTAATACAGCATTGTATGTGGCAGACAATAGATGTCTCAGAACCCCCTGCGTCACCCAGCCCCCCCACTAGAGATAATTTTTTGTCATTTTAAATTGAGAAAGCTGGTCGGATGACCAGTGAAATGTCTTCAAGAAAAAAAATCCAGCAAGTCCAGTTGCCTTGACTTATTTTTCACAGCTATACCATAACCTGGATGAGTGAGAACCTTCACAGATGATGCCAGAAGTGTTGCATCAAAACATTGTGGCCAGCAATGGATCACCCAAGGTTGCCATATTTTTTAGAAGTGATTGGTGTTATTTAATATAGCAGTTTACGCTCATTAACCATTGTGCCAGTTACCCTGTGTTTTACATCATTAACCCATTCCCTGCCACCACCGTAAGGCATACGGCGGAACAAAACTGTTCCCAGCTGGCCAGGCCAGTATGCCTTACAGAGGTGGCATATACAGTTCTGCTATATAGTCATGAATTTATACCAGAACTGTTCCCCGGACTGTCCCCTTTAAATTAATAGCTGTCATCAGCGGCCCACAAGCCGCTGATAACTGCTATTAACACAAATACCGGGCGCCCCGCCGGCACTGCCTGGAGCAACTCCAGGGGGCTGAGGAGCGAGCGGCAGCTGGTGGGGAGAAGCTGCAAGTTTCAGGATGGCCGAGCGGTGAGGAGAGCGGAGCCACTGTCATCCTGTCAGTTTGTCATTTTCCGGATGACTGCGGCTCTGTGCGTGGCCAGATATTTAACGATCCCTCTGTGCAGCACAAACACTGGAGTGATCGTCTGATCACTCCGGTGTTTCTAAATCACTGGGGACACATAGTACTATGTGTCCCCAGTTATGAATGAACAGGATGTGATTTACATCACTTCCTGTTCATGTTTTCCTCAATGGGGAGAAGCACTCACTACAGAGGCTCCTCCCCATTCACAAACTGCTGATAGTAAACATTTTACTATCAGCAGTTTGTGAATGAATGGGAAGCCTCTGTACTGAGTGCTTCTCATTCATTGAGTGCTGAGCCTGCAGAAAAAGAAATTGAGGACTCTGTGTCCTCAATTTCTTTTTCTATTTCAAAAGGGAAATGTCAGGTTTCAGACCCCAGATATTTAACCGTAGCCCCCCCAACAGTAAAGAAAAGAAAAATTACAAAAATAAATAAAAAATGTGCAAAAAAAAAGCACAAACCCCCCCATCCCCGACACACATAACATACGCATCGCAGTGCATGATTTTTTTCTTTTTTTTCTTTAAAAAAAACCCATAAATTTAAGTGTGGCAGCGCATGGCAAAACTTTGTGTGCATTGTCGTGTGTTGTGATACCTTATGTTGCAATTAAATATACGCCTGTATCATTTTATCACAACACAAACACAGCGCAAAATTTTTTTTAAAATAAGTTGGATATTTACAGTTTTGCGTTCCCTTTTCTCAAAAAGGCGCAATTTCAAATTTGCAAATATTTGTTATTTATTAACACAATACAGTTTTATCTTTTAGATTTAGTCAAAAAATATTTATTTTTGGTGCACCGATACCAATTTTAGGGCTTTAACAATTGAATTGTGTATTTTTATCGGTTTAATATTAATTTGAGAAACATTTGCGCAATTATCGCACGACCTACGAATTTAGTAGCACCGTCTTTTTATTCTACCAGGCCTGCGCTTTCAGAAAATATATGGTTTGGGGGGTCTTTTACAAACGCTAGCAACGCAGCAGTTGAAAATCAAATCAATGGGAAAAATTGCAAAAATGGCGTGGCCAGCTGAGGTGCAAAATGTTCCGGAGGGCTTGGCAGCGGAAGGGTTAAAGAAGAACTCCCGGGGGGAAAAAGAAGTAGCACTGGGGAAATCTCTGGATTGATGTTGAATATTGAAGCAAAATCTGGTTTTGATATTTTATCTTTTAAAGGACTATTTGTTTTTGTCTTATTTTTGGCCAGAGTTCGGCACTTTGTCTTGGACACTCCGTTTGCCAGAGGAGTTAAAGAGTATTCAATTCCAAAAACTAAAATGTAATGTATAGAGCTTACCAAACCTTAGATGTAGCGGCTGCATTAGTTTTCCCTCGATTTTCAGCTGGTAATCCAGTAACACACTTCCTGTAGCTCCTCTCACTCCTGCACTCTGTCTATGGAGGAACATCTTAGCCACCCTTGGACAGCAGCATTGTGGAAGTGTGGATTGGGTTGTTAGATTCACTAGTAAATGTACATGGACTTTACAGCAGTTACAAAAAACGTTTTTTCCTTTTGCGATAAGAGCCCTCCTTTTGCAGTTTGCGCAATATTGCGCGATTTGTCGCGCGATATCGCGCATATGCTTGCATTGCGCAAGCTTGAATCGCGGCTAAATCCGCTCCAAAAAGGGTCCTGCTGTAGCGTCACACGACCCGCGACAGCAGGACCCTTTGCCCCATTGAGAAGCATTGGAGAGCGATATCGTGCGGTAAATTGCCGCGATATCGCGGGAATTACCACGCGATAAATCGCTCAATGTGCACGGGGTCTTAATGTTTTACCCAAATGAACAAATGCTGACCGTTGTAACCACCCGTCGGTGTTAAGTTGTTTCTCTCAGCCCCCTAATCTCCACTTTTGCTGGACAGCTTGGTCTGTTAAAGGAAAAATAACAGATTTTGTCCGATCAACAGGTGAAAATAAAAGAAAAAAAATATAAAACAAAACTAATGCAGCCATCATAAAATTTGGTAAGCTGCAATAAATTAAGCTAAAGCTTTGTGAGACAAAGGTTTGTTCCTACACACTCTGTGTACTGCTGCTCCTACATTGTCCAATAAGCAAGTTGGGGGTTTGTCCGGGATCAAGCTATGCTGCTGCAACAGTGAAGGTCAGGGACCTGGCTGTGCTTTGTGGCAGGAGTATCTGTAACAGAATGGCAAATATTTTGACAGGCAGGCCAGTTCATATGTATTTCATCCATGTGTTTAGCTGCTTGCCTTGGAGCTCGTCTTTAAAGTGGACCTGTTCTTTCCCCCTGTAGAGTAAAGCAATGGGTTCACTTTCTTACCTCCCCACCCCAACAACTTATACTTACCATCCATATGATCCATATGGTATTCCTGCATTTTGTTCAGCTTCTGCAAGTAAGGAGAAGCCACCTTTGTAACCTAAAGCAGATTTCCAGTCGGAACTTATGCATGTCTGACTGCTTCCCTAACTTCCTGCGACTGTTCTGGACCAATCATCAAGCACCAGTGCCGTCACATGCTCCTCCATACCCAGAAGTAATGGGTATTTCCACTGTTCCCAGCAGCTGAATAAAGTGATAAAGAGCAAAGGAGACATGAAAATGTGCTGCTGGATTACTCGACCTTAAGATTCTCTTAACGGAATCGCAAGCCACAGGCAGAACAAAAAGGGGCGGAGCAAACTACGTATTAAATAAAAGAATAAAAATGCTCACATTGTACATAGCGACCCTAGACTGAAACCAGAATGTGCCCCGTAAAAACTCCTGATCTGGATAGATGTTCCGGCTCAGGTGACTTCACAGGATATTAAAGCCCGAGGTACAGGATGACAGGCAGCTGACATCATCAGAAAGGAGGTCAGATCCTCAACTTTCATATTACGAAGCACTCTGACATATTTGTTTTTCTTCCACCCCAGGGCCGGTAGTCACCTTCTTCTAGATCAGTTCGAGAAGTATCGCCGCTGCTTCCAGTGCAAGAGGCGAACGTCAAACTGCGGAGAGACCAACGTTTGGTGCGAGTCGCGCTACATCCCAGGATGCCGTCTGATGGTTTGACCGCCACCGTCTGCTCTTCAGTAAAGTTTGTTTATTCATAAAGCGTATCTGTCGGTTTGTACTTCCTGTCCTAAATGCTGTTATTACAAATGAGCAGTTCTGCATACTAATTACATTGGATTCTAAAGCTTGAAACACTCTCCTACCTCTATCTCTGCTATGGCCGTGTCAGCGGTCAATAGAACTAATTGGGTCGGTGGCGGTATTGTTGGGAAATGCGCTGTGACGCTGAAAACAGATTGTGCCTCAACAACGAGGAGAAGCGGTGTGAGGACTAATTAGCAACTTGAATGGAAGATTGTCTGATGTCTAAAATAAAGATTTATTAAATATGCACAAAGTCTTCTGTTTTTCTGCTTCCTCATTAACTCAGGATTACGGGTTTCATTGTACTTTGACATTGTGTTATCAAACAAATGTTTCAGAACACAGTCTGCTGCACTGCAATAAGCAAAAGCAACTTTTGGGTCTCCATTCCGGAGCTGCGTGCTTCAAATACAGTCATTATTTCTCAGTCAATTGGAAAGCCAGGCAAGTGAAAGAACAACATTGTTATACACGCCTTAAAGTAGAATTAAATTCAAGTTTAAAACAAACATTGCTGGCTTCCAGGCTCTATTGCAGAAGAGACTCTGTGGGTTGTATTTATAAACACCTCAGGTTGGACCCCAGGGGGGGGGGTAAGGGGTGTGTGATAAGACCAGATTAGGAATCCTCTGAGCACTCCGTCCCCTCCTCTGAGGGCACTCCCTGTCACCTGTCACTCGCATTGGGCCTCTTACATGGGTATCAACTGTACCGAGGCGGCATCCCGACGACCAGACCAACCCACCTGGGACCCTGCAGAGCCCACCAGAGAGAGTATCAGGTGGGCTATGCAGGATCTATGGTGTGCTCTGCATAATAACAGATTTTGTCCGATCAACAGGTGAAAATAAAAGAAAAAAAATATAAAACAAAACTAATGCAGCCATCATAAAATTTGGTAAGCTGCAATAAATTAAGCTAAAGCTTTGTGAGACAAAGGTTTGTTCCTACACACTCTGTGTACTGCTGCTCCTACATTGTCCAATAAGCAAGTTGGGGGTTTGTCCGGGATCAAGCTATGCTGCTGCAACAGTGAAGGTCAGGGACCTGGCTGTGCTTTGTGGCAGGAGTATCTGTAACAGAATGGCAAATATTTTGACAGGCAGGCCAGTTCATATGTATTTCATCCATGTGTTTAGCTGCTTGCCTTGGAGCTCGTCTTTAAAGTGGACCTGTTCTTTCCCCCTGTAGAGTAAAGCAATGGGTTCACTTTCTTACCTCCCCACCCCAACAACTTATACTTACCATCCATATGATCCATATGGTATTCCTGCATTTTGTTCAGCTTCTGCAAGTAAGGAGAAGCCACCTTTGTAACCTAAAGCAGATTTCCAGTCGGAACTTATGCATGTCTGACTGCTTCCCTAACTTCCTGCGACTGTTCTGGACCAATCATCAAGCACCAGTGCCGTCACATGCTCCTCCATACCCAGAAGTAATGGGTATTTCCACTGTTCCCAGCAGCTGAATAAAGTGATAAAGAGCAAAGGAGACATGAAAATGTGCTGCTGGATTACTCGACCTTAAGATTCTCTTAACGGAATCGCAAGCCACAGGCAGAACAAAAAGGGGCGGAGCAAACTACGTATTAAATAAAAGAATAAAAATGCTCACATTGTACATAGCGACCCTAGACTGAAACCAGAATGTGCCCCGTAAAAACTCCTGATCTGGATAGATGTTCCGGCTCAGGTGACTTCACAGGATATTAAAGCCCGAGGTACAGGATGACAGGCAGCTGACATCATCAGAAAGGAGGTCAGATCCTCAACTTTCATATTACGAAGCACTCTGACATATTTGTTTTTCTTCCACCCCAGGGCCGGTAGTCACCTTCTTCTAGATCAGTTCGAGAAGTATCGCCGCTGCTTCCAGTGCAAGAGGCGAACGTCAAACTGCGGAGAGACCAACGTTTGGTGCGAGTCGCGCTACATCCCAGGATGCCGTCTGATGGTTTGACCGCCACCGTCTGCTCTTCAGTAAAGTTTGTTTATTCATAAAGCGTATCTGTCGGTTTGTACTTCCTGTCCTAAATGCTGTTATTACAAATGAGCAGTTCTGCATACTAATTACATTGGATTCTAAAGCTTGAAACACTCTCCTACCTCTATCTCTGCTATGGCCGTGTCAGCGGTCAATAGAACTAATTGGGTCGGTGGCGGTATTGTTGGGAAATGCGCTGTGACGCTGAAAACAGATTGTGCCTCAACAACGAGGAGAAGCGGTGTGAGGACTAATTAGCAACTTGAATGGAAGATTGTCTGATGTCTAAAATAAAGATTTATTAAATATGCACAAAGTCTTCTGTTTTTCTGCTTCCTCATTAACTCAGGATTACGGGTTTCATTGTACTTTGACATTGTGTTATCAAACAAATGTTTCAGAACACAGTCTGCTGCACTGCAATAAGCAAAAGCAACTTTTGGGTCTCCATTCCGGAGCTGCGTGCTTCAAATACAGTCATTATTTCTCAGTCAATTGGAAAGCCAGGCAAGTGAAAGAACAACATTGTTATACACGCCTTAAAGTAGAATTAAATTCAAGTTTAAAACAAACATTGCTGGCTTCCAGGCTCTATTGCAGAAGAGACTCTGTGGGTTGTATTTATAAACACCTCAGGTTGGACCCCAGGGGGGGGGGTAAGGGGTGTGTGATAAGACCAGATTAGGAATCCTCTGAGCACTCCGTCCCCTCCTCTGAGGGCACTCCCTGTCACCTGTCACTCGCATTGGGCCTCTTACATGGGTATCAACTGTACCGAGGCGGCATCCCGACGACCAGACCAACCCACCTGGGACCCTGCAGAGCCCACCAGAGAGAGCATCAGGTGGGCTATGCAGGATCTATGGTGTGCTCTGCAGGGTCTCAGGTAAGTCCAGCACGCTACTGCAACATTACAGACCGCTGGGGGGGGCGGATGCCAGTGTGATCCGCTCCCGCACACCCCCCCCCTCTGAAAAGTCTTGCACTCAGTCATGGACCGAGAGCCTGACAGTTGCTCGAGAGAAAAGGGGACCCGGCGGGATACCTTATCCCGCAGGGTTAATGTCCCGTCATCTCTCTGCTGGCCTCCATCACCCCAAGATGGGCGCCGTCCGGTAACAGCACGTGACATCAGGTGCGAGGGCATCGCTACAGGTGTCACCTGGTACACTCTTTGTGTGACACCCTGCCTCAGGACACCCCTATGGATAGGCTGCATTCTCAGTGATGTCACCGGTCTCTAGTGAATGGATAGGCTGCATTCTCAGTGATGTCACCGATCTCTAGTGAATGGATAGGCTGCATTCTCAGTGATGTCACCGGTCTCTAGTGAGCGGATAGGCTTCCTTGTCAGTGATGTCACTGGTCTCTAGTGAATGGATAGGCTGCATTCTCAGTGATGTCTCTGGTCTCTACTGAATGGATAGGCTTCATTCTCAGTGATGTCACCGATCTCTAGTGAATAGATAGGCTTCATTCTCAGTGATGTCACCGGTCTCTAGTGAATGGATAGGCTGCATTCTCAGTGATGTCACCGGTCTCTAGTGAATGGATAGGCTGCATTCTCAGTGATGTCACAGGTCTCTACTGAATGGATAGGCCATTATTTTAGACACTATTTTATCACCTGTTTAAAATGGCAAACAGTTCACTTTAAGGAAACCTGTACTGAGAGAAATATGTAGGCTACCATTGCAGAAATTTTGAAAAAGCTAGTTGTCAGCGAATGGGCACTTCCTTTAGAAGTCATTGGTGGCAGCCTTATGTTTCTCTCAGCACAGATTTCCTATCAGGCAAAATAGACCCTTTACAGTTTTTCTCCAGTGCTTCTCAACACCAGATTTCAGGAAGGCGGAGTTCCCCTTTAATCTCAGCCTGCTTATAATATACTAAAGATAGATGGGCAGTGATTTCACCAGGAATCTATGTACAGTATAAACATACAGTATGCTACAGTAACAATGCAAACATAACGTACACTGATCAGAACTGAAGATAGAAAGGATTAACATGCCATCGCACCATCCGACGACCATTAGAAGATTTCAGGGCTGTGAGACGCAATACAAAATGTCGTCTAAAACAAGCAGATTTATTGTAAAAGGAGTTCCAGGTATAAAAGTTTCCGGGTGGTCCTGGTATAGAACAGAAACATTCATTCACATAACAAGTCAGTGCATATACAGTATACAGTATATGTCACAACAGCAAAGACTCCTGACATTGGCTGAACAGCTACGAGGCCAATCACGTTTACATTGATATATGGGCCACGAGATTATGGACTTCTGTTCTAATAATACATTATACATCTATACTGAAAATGTCTGCACAGCGAGCTTACAGTCTAATCTGGGTATCTCCAGGAAAGATGCAGTTAAGGATTGGCCAAAATTCATTCAGTCTTGGGTGAGGGCTGTAGTTTAAGGTGGTGCTCTGCACCCAGGTTCCCCACTCTACCCACTTTTGCGGCCATTTTGCCTCACACTATGGCTTATGGAACGGTGTGAACAGCGAGCTTTTACAAAGCGTTTGCAGGGCTTTCAGCAAGCTTTGTTGTAGCCTTTAAGGCTCGATTCAACTCCAGTTTGGGCTGGGTAAACATATAAATGTTCAAGTCCTCTTTAATCTAAGTTTCGGGTGGACTTACCCTTACTGTAAACCAGACGCTGGCTGAAACATTTCTAAGGTAGCAACAGTGTTGAGTATAGGTGTCTGCAAATACCATTGTTACTGTTCAAATCAACCCCCTTTGATTCTAGGCAAGGCTTTACACTGAACCCCTATTTTATTCTGAGTTGATATTAAGCCCCACCCCAGGCAATGGCAGAGCCTCTACTGTCCACCCTCTGAACTTCTGGAATTTGACCGTTTAATGATGGGGGTAGGGAAGGGGCAAGGCTTACTCTTAAAGTTGGCCTAAATCATGGCCCCATGTACATCCTGGGCTTAGAATCCAAAGTACTTCCACAGGATCAGGAAGGATTTGAAAATCAAAACAAGTGCTTGCAGCCACCACAAGGTTTCTCACAGTTCAGTACCTCGGCTACCTGTTGGATCATAATGGGAGTGCCGACTGTCACGTTCAACATGATCCTAGAAAGCTATAGCAGACTTTCAACATGTTTCAAGTAGCGCTGAAGCTAACTGGTTACAGCCAGCACTCCCATTAGGATCCATGTTTAACGTTCCCATATTGGAACTGAAGAGCTCTTTAAAAGCTTCATCAAGCTGCTCGAAGCTTGCCAAAAATTCTTGAAAAGCTCGCTGTACACAATGCTCAAGTACAAGCTAAAGCCCTCTCTCTGCCTTTTTTGGGGAATAACTTCCAGAGATCAGCTCCTCTTTTTAAGTTTTGGGTGGCCTTGTCCTTACAGTAAACCAAATGTCGGCTGAATCATTTTTAAGGCAACAACAGCCTTGAAGATTAGGTGTGTACAAGTACCTGTGTTAGTGTTCAAATCAACCCCCTTTGATTCTAGGCCGGGCTATACATTGATCCTCTATTTCTCTCTGAGTTGAGAATATGTCCCACCCCACCACGTATACAGTCAGATGAGTCTCTACTATCTGCCCCCTAAGTTTATGGCATTTGACAGTTAATTTGGGTAGCGAAGGAACATGGCTTAATCTTAAAGTGGGCCTCAGTTAAGGCCCCATGTACAGCCTGGGCCATGAATCCAAGTGCTTCCACAGGGACAGGAAAGATTTGAAAACCAACACAGGCACTTGCAGCCGCGAAAGGTCCCTAGCACTCCAGTACCACTGTTACCTTAGATCCCTTTTAGACCGAGGTCGGCTTGAAGGATTACCTAATATAATATACAGGTCATACTAGCTAGAAAGATGATCACCTAAAGCTGAGCATTCTTCCGGTAATTACCAACATCCACCATGGAGGTGTAATGACCAAGTCTGGTTATAGTCAAAGCAGTGTGTGGTTATTTCCGACAGTCGTCCCTGTATTTCATCAAACCCAACTAAGCAGGAGTAAAAGAGCTCTAAAATAAAAAGTTAAAACCTCTAACACCAAGGGAAGCGTAAAGCCTGGCCTACAATAAGGTTCAGAATTACATTTGGTTTTAATATGAAGGACGGCAGCTCAAGTGAGATACAGAGCACACACTGCTATGCCTTGCCATGATTTAGTTTAGTGGTTCCCAAAGGAGGACTGGAAGAGGATCACCACGGACTTTATCAAGTCTTTGGGGAATAAGGTTTATTTTCCCTCCTCTAATGAGGCTTAAAGGAGAACTATGAGGTGAGTGAAAATCACTGATCCTCATAGTTCGAGCCGACGTGTGACAATGAAACTGTCACAGGTCGGCTCAATAGATCGGGAAATGAGCGAACACATACCATCCCTCGCTCACTTCTCGATCATGCCCCTGCAGAGAGCCGTGACTGTCACTCATGGCTCCCTGCAGGGCCCCCCCCCCCTCCCCGATCCTCCAGCGCTCACTGGCGGAACGGATGGGGGAGGGGGCGGGCACAGCTGGCTCTGCTTCTAGATAGGCAGAGCCAGCTGTCAATCCCGCAGCTGGATGCATCCAGACAGTAATGTCAGGATCCGTCCAGGCTGCGGCGGTCTCAGTATACTGCGAGTGGTAGCTCGCGGTATACTGAGCTTTGGGCCGCAGGAGGACGCTAGTTTGTGTCCTCCCGTGACCCTGGGGGAGAACTATGGGGAAAAGCACTGACCCCATAGTTCTCCTTTAAACATTAGTGGAGAGCCAAATGACAAAACACTGAGGGGAATTTATCAAAATTGGAGCAGACAAAATCTGGAGCAGCTGTGCATGGCAACCAATCAGCTTGTCTCTTTCATTTTCAAAGCTTAACTGAACAAACTGAAGAGAGAAGCGGATAGGTTGCCATGCACAGCTGCTCCAGTTTTCCTAAATTTACCCCAATGAGTAGTTATTAGATGATTAGTCTCAGGAAAGTGTTGTCCAGTATATATGGATAATGAAAAAGCAATCCCTATTGTATACACAGCCTTTCTCTGATAGATATATTCTGTATATTGACATGAAACTGTCAGTCACCAGTTTGGGGTCTTCTGTTCTAGTCTATGAGGAGACTTCTAGGCAAGGCTGAGTACTGTATGTATTACATTCAATCTATTCTTGGTTTGTCTGCTTGGTGATTTATGAATCTAACATCAGGAAGCTTTGCTATAAGTATGCTTGTCTTGAGCGACACTCCCGGAGTGTGTGACAGTGCAATCGTAGAGAGAAGACGCATAATACGGGCTACACATCTTGGATCTGCATAGCCTCCTCGGGCCACCGGTAGTTGTCGATGGCAAAGGAATCATAGTCAGCACTGTAGATGATGGATTTCACAAAGGCCTCTTTGTCATCGGGTTCTGGATAGCAGGATGCCAGGTTGTTTCTGTAAGCGTAGTCCACGACCTAACAAAATGAAAAACACACATTTGGGCTTACTGACTGCAAAGTGAATTCAGGTGTTTCCAGTACAGAGTACGGTTACTGCTACAGCATACAAAGACATTGTAGACAATTGTGCGCTTCCGACTTTGTGGAAACAGTTTGTGAAAGGCCCATGTGCACAAAGCTCTATAGAGACATGCTTGACCAGTTTGGTGGGGAGTATTATGGGTGGCATGCAGAGAGCACTGACTTCACCCCATCAAACACCTTTGAGGTAAATTGGAATGTAGATTGTGTATCACCTTTATTCACATTGTTTCATTAAGTGGAAAGTCTCCAATAAGGTGACAGCAAATGACTCAGGAAAAATGATGGCGCTGATAAGAGGCCAGAAGTCAGGCCACTCCAGACCTGGTCTTGTGATGACCAGCCATTAAATTGCCCTGTACATAGCCAGGCCCTGGAATGATACAGAAATCCGGCTCTGCACTGAAAGTCCCTATCAGATTCAGCAGCACTATTTCCACAGCTGCTAGATGGTATCACGTATGAGATTATGTTCTCATTACTGCACATGAGGCTGGACCAGTACATCTAACAGATGGTAGATTACAAGTGGCAGAAGCTGAATTTACTGAGTGATGGCGGCGCTCTGCTTGGAATGTTCTAAAGTAGAATTCCAGCCAAAGCATTGTTTTTCAGTTGTATACAGTGGGGAAGGATTAAAATCTCCAACAGATTTGATGGGATAAGAGAAATTATTTCCAAGGGGACACAAAGCAGTTAACAAATAATCAGTGTTATATCACTGTCTGTGTACCTACTGCAGAGATGGTAAGGACAGGTACGTGCGGTCAGGTGAGGCAGGTGGGGCAGAGCCTTACCTAGTATTATGGAGGAAAAAGCTGTCGGCTTCAAGTCTAAAGCTGACAGCTTTTTCTCCATTCAGAGCGGCTTGTTACAGGTTACAGAGCAGGGAAATCCTCCCCACTGTGTCACCTGTCATGGACGGAGCGCTGCCTGTAAATAACAGGCGGCGCTGCATCTTGCTTTTGACAGGTAGTTAGGTTACACAGTAACGGGCTTCCCCACAGCTTGTGTAACCTAACTAGTGAGGCCAACAGTCTACTTTGTGTTAGAGGCTTGTGCTATGTGGATGGTTTGGACTAATGGCAAAGCGCCCTTGATCCAAGCTGTCCAAACTAAAACACTGAGGAGATCGATCTCGATGCCTCCCCAGTGACGAGCAAGTGAGGGACAGGGAGGCTCCTCCCTGTCTCCTCCCTTCTCCACACATTGCTCAGTGACTGGGTTGGGGCGGGGCGTCGGTGGCTGGGGCGGGCCTAGCACGGCCCTTACTGCACGTCACTGGGTAAGGATACCAGCCATACTCCATACAGCCGGAAGACCTGGAATACGTTGGCTGGTGCTGCAATGACACGTGGTAAGGTCATGAGTGATGAAATGATAAAAGTCACCAGCACACCTAGACTGTTCAATTGTAATTAACACTGAAAAAAATACATTTCGGCCGGAGCTCCATAGAGCACATGTCAATAGAATGTATACACAACTTACCTTAACAGCAATCTTGAGGGACACCTCCCTGATGCTGCTAAGAGGGGGATACAATCGTCCCTCTGCCAAGTTCTCTTTGGTGACATCTTCAGCAATGGCCTAACAAGACAAGGCATTCACATAGATAAGGAACTAGTGATTGAAGCGTAATTTAACCTTTGCACTCAAAAAAATAAAAATAATGCTATTATATTTCATTAAGATTTGCAGAGTTATGCTGTGAATGCATCTTGCCCTTAATAAAATCACCCCCCCTCTCCCCCAACACCCCAAGTATAGGGAGGCCTGAAAACACTTATGGTTCCTCCAGCATCCTTATAATCTTCTAGTTGCAACGTTGGTCATGTGACCAAATGCCAGAGCACTGGTCATGTGATCTCCAGTGAAGGAAGGATCAGGATTTAGGAAAGGCTGCTGAATGGTTGTGCTTGAAGGTCATGCTCCCAAAACATTTTGGCTGAGGTCATGTGAGCGAGGTTCTGGTCAAGTCAAGAATCACCAACAAGGAGAAGGATTTAGGGATACCGGGGGCAATGTAAGATTTCTCACCAGTCTGGATCTCTAATACTCTGGACTTAGGGTGAAGGTTTGTTTAACATATAACCTCTGTCATTGCCAATATAAACCCTCAAAGATCCAAAAATTAATTCCCCGCAAAAGAAGAGGTTTTTTATTCACCTCATTCACCTCCAAACCCGGCCATGTAGCCGATATCTTTGCTCTGTTGAACCAATGCAGTCTATGTCAGAATCTTCAGCATGGAATAATTTGGGAGTGTTGAATACCTGTGTCCCCCCTCCATGCGCTGTGGTCTCATCCACTGACCCCTGTACTACTGCTGTGTCCTGTAGTGATGGACAGAACCATAGCGCATGGCAGTGGACACAGACATCCAACACTACCAAAGCATTGCACGCTGAAGGTCCTGATCGGGGCTGCAACACTTAAACCTGTCAAAGACCGAAGATATGACCCACCAGAGAATTTCATTATAAGACCTCTTCCTCTGTAGGAAACTTTTGAGATTTTTTGGGGGCACAAAATTGCGGCTTTAAAGAAGAACTCCAGGCAATAAAGAAAAATCACCCTTGCAGTGGAGCTACCCCCACACTCTAAGGTTCAGGCGAGTATATTTTTGCCCTTAGATAAAAATGAGCAGTTAATCCTTGTAGTGTGGGGGTAGCCGCACTGCAAAGGCACGTTTTTGAAACTCACATAGTTTTTCTTAATAGACGATGGCATTTACAACACACGTCTATTTTACCGTCCAGTGTACCTCATTTGCTCATTTTCATAGTAGTCATGTGATTGGGGTGTTATTTATCATACCAAAAGGTCAGCGCCACCTACCTCCGCCGTGGTGAGGAAAATGTCTTCTGTGATATGTCGGACGCCACAAGCGATGACTCCCAGAGCAACTCCCGGGAACACATAGGCATTGTTTCCCTGACCCGGGTAGAAAGTCTGACCATTTGGAAGGGTCACTTTGGAGAACGGACTTCCGCTGGCAAAGATCCCGCGACCCTAGAGAAAAGGGGCCAAGATTGTAGTAGAGCAACCACTCAGATTTACCTATCCACTAAATAGAATACACTGTGACTGATCACCTCTAGAGCTCCATAGTGCTCCCCTCAGTGCAAAGCATTATTTTCAGTCAACAACAAAAGAGCATTTGGAGAAGCGTTTGATGAAAGGGAATGATCAATCACTGGTTCACATGCCGTTCAGGTGGCGGGGAAGGGGTCTGGGAACCGACGCGGGACCGCACTGTCAGTGGGTCTATCTGTAATCTCAGTGGGTCAACGGCACCCACTAAGTTCACCCTGAGGCCATCTGTGCGATCACCAATATTATAAGGTTATAGACCGTAAGGAGTGCAGGGGGGTTCTCCGAAACAATTGCCGCCCAGCTCACGGACGTCGCTAGTTGCCTGGAGCTCGTTGGGATGCCAGACCGAGCGTCATAGATTGCTAGGAGCTCTTGGGCCACCCCCATTTTTTCCCCTCATAATTCGCTGGGGACTTGTCACCAGGACAGGAAGAATCTCAACTCACAGGGCTCTGTGCAATGATATCTAGTCATGCAGATACAATGGTTCTCATGGGACCAATTTTAGTCTGTGGCTCCACTGAATTAACTAGACATGTAAAGCAGCAGGAAAAATTTGGTTCGCTTATTTAGTTATTTTGTGATTCGGACTCGAAATTAAATTCTGTTCGGGTTTCGGATTCGGACGACACCCGAATTTTCGTTAGTTTCGGATGAGTTTACGAATATTCACTGCGAATACCACAGAAAACCATATCCATATATCACTAAAGCTGAGGCTCCCAGACCAGAATGGGATTCAGGAGCTCCCAAATCTAATTGGGGAATTTGGATCCTGAATGCCATTCGGGTCTAGGAGCCTCAGCTTAGTATGATATGTATATACTGTATATGGCTCCCATGTTGCCGTAATGAAAATTCATGTTCACACCCCATTCGGATGCATTAAACTGAAAAACACATCTGATTGGCCAGAAAAGTCACATGTCCCATTCAGTTTAGTTTTTGAACGAAATTCGGACGGCATCTGAAATTCAGAAATGGAAATTAGGATTCGGACACATTCGGATTTGGAAATTCGGATGTGTCTGAATTTCGGAAAATTCGTACGCATTTTGATTAGGAACGAAACGAACCGCACATGTCTATTAAATAACACATTTTACCAGCATGACCAGTAACTACAACATTAGGGTAAGATGGGGCGCTGCCTCATGGACTGGAGGTAAAAATTGTCTTCAATTTTTGCTTTGCCAAACCACCTCTGGACAGCTGTTGGTACATTCTTCATTAAAACAGCAGAAGCTGCCAAGAAGAGTTGCAAGCCTCTCTGTAGCTCAATCAACAGTAATATCAAAATGCATCTCTACAGGACCCTGGTGGCTAATCATGTGACATGGTTGGGGACCACAGGAGTGAAGTCTACATATATAGCGGTCATTGATGTCCCTAGACAGCATGGTGGCAGATACCATACCTCCGTCAGACGGTAGCACTGCTCCGCCGTGCACTCCGCCTTGCTGGTTGGGTTACTCAGTGCAAATATTATTGGTCTTTGATTATAAGCAGCCATGTTTTTCAGTATCTTCTCTGTAAACGCCCCCATGATAGCAGCCACTCCTAAAAAGAATATGAAAAAATGTGAATGTTGCATAATAAATACCGGGTTAGAATTATTACCTTTGCCATATGTACAAAATAAAAAAATTGCAGTATGTTATGTACAAGCACTGGCTAAACCTGATGGATCTGTTATATGAGAATCCTTCCCTGGTGAGCTCTAGTATGGGTGAACAGAGAATCTCTCTCTGGAGCAGATCTCCATGGTTAAATATATAGCAGTTTTGTATATTTTCTTCCTTTATTATGGCCAGGAATAAAAAAAACCTAAACATTTAGTCATATAAATATGAAATATTGCATTCCAATTTTCTGCCATTAGGTGGAGCTATTGGCTCCTTTTCACATATTTTCCAGGCTATCCTTACCTGCATTGCTGAACAAGTGATTGAAGAACTCAAGTGGAATTTTATACACACGACTTAATGATTCTGCACAGTGACTCCTCTCCCCTTCCTCACTGCCTGCTAAAGGGGACTGAACCTTGGAAGCTGTGACCAAAACAAGGCAGGCAGAGGGCAAAGGACTAGTCACCAGCATTACCTGTGGTCTACCTGCAGCTGATCTTTTCCATATTAGGGCTCATTCAGACGAGAAACGGCCGGCACGTACAGCTACGTGCACGGC